GCGCTTACGCTCCTTAAGCACCAATGTTTGAAATTGGGAAAAATCACGGGCTCCACCAGCGTAACTGTAATTTCAAACAAGTAATTTTTAGCAAAAAAAAACCGACTTCAAAAAATATATCTATATCTATATATTTCATGATCCAATGATCGGATCTAAACCAAATTAGCATGGTATTAGTATTAGACCACCTCTGAGACACTACCTTTCCGTTGCAAAAAGAATTATCGAAATCGGTTGACGTGGTCCAACGGTATGCGGTAACATACATAAAAAAAAAATAAAAATAAAAAACGAACTGATTACCTCTTCCTTTTTTGGAAGTCGGTTAAAAACTCAAAGTTAGCTATATTTAAGGCCGAGTCGGTTTTGTCCGATTTAAAAAATATCCAAGACGGTGCTTAAAGAGGCTATAAATGGAGTCTACAATGTGTATACAAAATTTGGTCGAGATCGGTCAAGTAATTTTTGAGATACGCATATTTATATGAAAAAAAAAATCTGTTTTTATTCGATATTTCTTTAATAATAAATTTTTAGTTCACTGAAATGGAAGGGAACAGTTCAACTTTATTAAAATAGCCAGCGGTACCCTGTCACGCAATGATGGTGCATATTCCTGTTACATTGATGATAAATTATTAAGGAAAAAACACATATTTCATATAACTTTGATTTTGCAATACTTGTGTCCAAGGCATAACAAGGTACAAGTGATTTCGACACTTGTCTCTTTTGAACTGTGACTAAAATGTCAACTCTTAACCCTATACTATTCAAAATTTTAATTTTTTTAATAAAAATTTTCAGTTGTGAGCTGTACGACTGATTTTAAATACATAATTAAATGAAAAGGAATTACGGGCGGTATGTTGTGTTTGACAAGAGCCAGGACAACAAACTTGTGCGTTATTTTAAAACTCCGAAGTAGCAATGCTTCATTTTCACGTGTGCGCGAAAAACATTTTAGTGCCAGTGACTTTGGGGCACCGAAATTGCGCATATGGAAACTGTGCATTTAGACATTATTTCGGTATCAACCGAAACTGTGCATGTATGCTTTATTTCGGTTTTTACCATATGCATTATTTCGGTTTTAAACAGAAACTGTGCATGTATTCATTACTTCGTTTTTTTTTGCATTATTTCGGTTTTTTTCATATGCATTATTTCGGTTTTCAAACGAAAGAGTGCATATGCATAATTTCGGTTTTTCTAATAAGCATTATTGCGGTTTTCAACCGAAACTGTGCATATATGCATTATTTCGGTTTTTTTTTCATATGCATTATTTCGGT